TTTCAGCCATGGCATTTTTCTGTGTGTACAAAGGCTGTTAATTTTTGTGAGTTGATTTTATATCCTGCTACTTTACCAAACTCTCTATGAGTTCCAATAGTCTCTTGGTGGAGTCTTTTGGATTCCCTATATATAGAATCATGTCACCTGCAAATACAAATAATTTGACTTCCTCTTTCCCAATCTGAATCCCTTTGATTTCTTTTTCTTGCCTAATGGCTCTGGCTAAAACTTCCAGTACTATATTGAATAGCAGTGGTGAGAGTGGGCATCCCTGTCTGGTACCAGATCTCATTGGAAATGCTTCCAACTTTCCCCCATTCAATAGGATGCTGGCCATGGGTTTGTCATAAATTGCCTTGACTGTGTTGAGGAATATTCCTTCTATACCCAATTTGCTTAGAATTTTCATCATGAAAGGGTGTTGTGTTTTATCAAATGCTTTCTCTGCTTCTGTTGTGATAATCATATGGTTTTTGTTCTGCAGTTTGTTAATGTGATGTATCACATTTATTGATTTGTGAATGTTGAATCATACTTGAATATTAGGGATAGATCCCACTTGGTTTGGGTGAATGATCTTATGTCTTGTTGGATTCGATTGGCCAGAATTTTGTTGAGGATTTTTGCATCTATGTTCAACAGGGAAATTGGTCTGTAGTTCTCTTTCTCTGTTGCATATTTTCCAGGTTTAGGAATTAAGGTGATGCTGGCTTCATAGAAAGAGCTTGGGAGGATTCTCTCTCTTTCAGTTGTTTTGAATAACTTGAGAAGAAGAGTCAGTTCTTCTTTAAATGTCACTTAGAATTCAGTAGTGAAGCCATATGGTCCTGGGTTTTTCTTTGTAAGGAGGGTCTTTACCACTGATTCAATTTCTTTCTTGGTAATGTGTCTGTTTAGGTTTTCTATGTCTTCATGGCTCAATTTAGGTAGACTGTATGTGCCCAGGAATCTACGAATTTCTTCTAGGTATCCCACTTTGTTGGCATACTGTTTTTTGTAGTAATTTATGATGATTCTTTTTATGTCTCTGGTGTCTATTGTTACATTTCCTTTTTCATCTCTAATTTTATTGACTTGGGTCTTATCTCTCCTTTTTTGGCTAGTTGGGCCAATAGTGTGTCAATTTTGTTTATTTTTTCAAAACAAGCAGCTCTTCATTTTGCTGATCTTTTTTATTGTTTTTTTTTTTTTGTTTCAATTTTGTTAATTTCTTCTCTAATTATAATTATTTCTTTTCTCTTACTAGTTTTGGGTTTGGTTTGCTGTTGTTTTCCCAGATCCTGGAGATGCACTGATAGCTCATTTATTTGGTGCCTTTCCAATTTCTTGATTTAGGCACCGATTGCTATAAATTTTCCTCTTATCACTGTTTTTGCTGTATCCAGTCATTTCTGATTTGTTGTATTGTTGTCTTCAGAAATTTTTTAATTTCTCTTTTGATGTTTTCAATGACCCACTATTCATTCAGGAGCATGCTGTTCAGTGTCCATGCATTTGCATATGTTCTAGTTATTTCTGAGCTGCTGGTTTCTAGCTTCATTCCATTGTAGTCTGAAAAGATGCATGGTATGATTTTGATTTTTTTGAATTTTCTGAGACTTGTTTTATGGTCTAGCATGTGGTTAATCCTAGAGAAGGTCCCATGTACTGCTGAGAAGAATGTGTATTTTATAAATGTAGAATGCAAAGTTCTGCAATTATCTGTTAGGTCCATTTGGTCTATAGTGTTGATTAACTCTGCTGTTTCCTTGCTGATTATCTGTCTGGTTGATTTGTCCGTTGCTGAAAGTGTGGTAGTGCAATTCCCCATTACTATTGTATTTGATTCTGTGTTTCCCTTTAGATCTCTTAACATTTCTTTTAAAAAGCCATGTGCCCTGTAATTAGTTGCATATATGTTTATAATAGTTACATGTTCCTGTTGAATTGATCCCTTAATCATTACATAGTGTGCTTCTCTGTTTCTTTTAACAGTTTTTTTGTTAAAGTCTGTTTTGTCTTACATTAGGATGGCTACACCAGCCTTTATTTAGTTTCTGTTAACATGGAATATCTCTTTCCATCCTTTCACTTTCAGTCTGCGTGTGTCTTTGTTGGTGAGATGTACTTCTTGTAGGCAGCAAATAGATGGGTTTTCTTTTTTAATTTATTCAGCCAGTCTATGCATTTTAACTGGAGGGTTAAGGCCATTTACATTCAAGGTGACTACTGATAAGTAATGACTTTGCCATGCTATTTTTCCATAAATATTCCTATTTTTTACTTTGGATTTCTTTCTACTTTTCCTGGGAGATTTCCTTCCTTTATCTTCTTCCGTAGTTATGACCATGTTTCTGTGTTTTTGTGTGCAATACATCCTTAAGAATCTTCTGCAGGGCTGAACAGGTGGTGGCAAATCTCTCAGTTTCTGTTTGTCATGGAAGTTCTTTATTTCACCTTCGTTCATTACTGAGAGCTCTGCAGGGCATAGTATTCTGGGTTGACAGTTGTTTTCTTTTAAGACTTTGACTATATCTTTACATTCTTTCCTAGCTTGTAGGGTTTCTGATAAGAAATCAACTGTGAATCTAATTGGAGAGCCTCTGAAAGTAATCTGGTGTTTCTCTCGTGCACATTTTAGAATCTTTTCTTCTTGTTTTCCTGTGGAGAGTTGATTACAATGTGTTGTGGTGAAGATCTTTTCTGGTCATGTCTATTAGGGGTTGTATGTGTTTCCTGTACTTGGATTTCCCTTTCTTTCTCCAAATGGAGAATTTTTCTGTTACTATTTCACTAAAAGGGCCTTCTATTCCTTTCTTTCGACACCTTCAGGAGCTCCTAGAACCCCTATGTTGGGTCGTTTGATAGAACAGTGTTTTTTAGTTTTCTAATTTCTTCTTGTGTTTGATCTGACTGTATAATTTCCTGTAATTTGTCTTCTTAATTGGATATTCTTTTCTCTGCTTCACTGATTCTGTTATTAAAGCTTTCCAGTGTATTTTTTATTTGTTCCATTGAATTCTTCGTTTCTAAGATTTCATTTTGATTTCTCTGTAAGATTTTAATTTCGTGGGAGAAATTTTCTTTCATGTCAAGTATGGATTTCATTAGTTTGTGCATTTGCTTCTGATTACTTTTTTTTTTTTTTTTTACAGGTAGAGTGGACAGTGAGAAAGAGAGAGAGAGAGAGCGCGCGCGAGAGAGAAAGGTCTCCCTTTTGCAGTTGGTTCACCCTCCATTGGCTGCCGCCACCAGCGCGCTGTGGCTGGCGCACCACGCCTATCCGAAGGCAGGAGCCAGGAGCCAGGTGCTTATTCTGGTCTCCCATGCGGGTGCAGGGCCCAAGCACTTGGGCCATCCTCCACTGCACTACCAGGCCACAGCAGAGAGCTGGCTTGGAAGAGGGGCAACAGGGACAGAATCCGGTGCCCCGACCGGGACTAGAACCTGGTGTGCCAGTGCCACAAGGTGGAGGATTAGCCTATTGAGCCGCAGCGCCGCTTCTGATTACTTCTAAGTAATCATGTCATCAATTTTCTGAATTTCATTATTCGCATTTCTTCAATCTCATCATCTTCACAATCTAGTACTGAAGTGCTGTGTTCTTTTGGGGGCGTCATGTTGTGTTCCTTATGCTTGTTTCTTGAATTGGTGCAATTGTTATTCGGCATTTGTGAAGATACTCGTTGGTTTCTTCTTCTTCTTCTTCTTCTTCTTTTTTTTTTTTTTTTTTTTTTTTTGCTGTGGGGGCTTTTATCTTTGGACTATGTCTGAGTGGAGTGTCTAGTTTCAGGGAATATCTAGAGGTGTGTGGTGGGTGTGGCCAGGGAGCTCTGATGAGTGCTCCAGGTAAAGGGCATGTCTGAGGTGACACACCCAGGTTTGGCATGGTAAATCTTTTTTTTTTTTTTTTAATCAGAGGGGAGGTTTCATCTTGTCTGTTGGCATAGACTCAGCAGAGCTCCTCTCTATCCCCAGTGAGTATATTATTTGCTTTCTCTGCCACAAAGACCACACAGAGGCTCTGTGCAGTCTTCAGTGTAAGCTTAGATTCCCCAGCAATGTCCCTTGTCAGGTAACCACAGAGCCCTGATCATGTGGAGCCTCCTACAGTGACTGCCCAGTGTCTCAGCCACATCCTGAGTCCTCCCATGCAGCCTTAGTGTTTTCAGTCCTGGCACACAAGCCTCCTACAGTTATGAGTACCCAGCCCCATGTCTGTTCTCCCCACAGGACTGAGGAGTCTCTGCTTGGCTGGTTGCTGGGCATGGACACAAACTGGCACAGCTGTTACATATGTCCAAAATGGCGCCTGCTCTCTATCAGCTTGTTACAGAATGCTTTTGCAGGGTGATCAGGGAGAGAGAAAATGTGCCCCCCACCCTTGTTTTTTCTCTTTTAGTTTGGCATGTACATTATTCCCATGGGACTCCAAGCTAGATTCCCTTTAGGCTTTTCCTGCAGCTTTTCTGCCAGTGGCTTGGGCTGCTGCAGTCTGGCTTTACCTCACTTTCCAATGCTGGTGTGGAGGCTCTCAGCTGCTGGGGCCTATGTTATGCCTGTCCTCCCACTTCGTGTAGTTACACTGCGTTCCTCCAATTTATATAATGTTTACTCTGCAGTTTTCTCTCTAACTCTTCCCTGAGACTGCACTCTTTGCACTTTTTTAAAACTATCTTCTAGACTTGAGCAGCAAGCTCCCTCCCTACTCTGCCATCTTTGCTCTGATGTTCTAAGAGTGAAATGTCTTCCTGTGGTTAATAATTGTACCAGGTGTGGCTGGTCAGTGGTCAGCCTCTGACAATGAGCAGGGCTTATGATGAGCAAGATCTGAAAAACTTGATCTCTTCCAGTAAATTTGATCAGATTCTAAATATCTAGTTATGTTATTATGATTTTATGTATAATACTCTCTTAACTTACCAGGATTTCATCAGTGGTTCTAAGATGACTTAGACTCTTTGTAGAAATAACCATGAAAAGTAATACAAAATAAAAAAAAAGATGGTAACTCCTACCTTTTGGTACTATCTTGTTTGGTTTGTTGCTTTGAGATCTCTTCCAAAGCAAGGATTGGGCTACAGAACAGCTGCCCATTTTTCCTTATTATCCTTTGTTTCATGGCAGTTAGACTACTCCATTCTCGAACAAACCTCAAAATCTGGCAAAAAATGATAGAATAAAAAGAGTTAACAGCTCACCAGACATCTTCCTTTGAAAGTGAGGCTATTTACAACACGAGAAAACTGATGGTTTCTTACATCCCCAAAATAAACTTAGAGTTCATCAACTTAAGTTTTTTTTTTTTTTAATTTTATGCAGCTCCCATATCTTTAAATTATTTATGGCCAGTTTTCAAGAGATCTCTTCCAATCCAAAGATTCTCTAGAGGCAAATTTCAGGACACTCAGCGTATGCCCTTAATGTGCATAGGGTCCAGTAGTGATGAGATTGATGGATGCCAGGAAGCATGCACTCCACCAGCAGTCAATACAAAACTAGTCTTGGGGACAGCAGTCCTGCAGTGGTGATACACTGACAGTGTCATATCTGAGAACTGCTTTGTATCTGATCCCTAAGTTATCACAGGAAAAAAGCCAGCAGTAAATCTGAGACATTTTTATTAGGTTTATCATTACTTACTGGTCAGTTACAAATAAATGGCTATTTTCTGGGAATCTGAGAGCCAGGATTAGATGATACTTAAGAAAATAGCTAACTGCTACATTTTCCTTTAACACGAGTGCTGCTGACCTATGGACAATACTTCATTTCAGCTTGAGAGGTTAAAAAAATCATTATTTTCTTGTAAAAAATGTTACCCTGCATGCTGGGTCCATCTCTGTACATGATGATCCTTCTTAACAGTAATGATAAATTAGTCATAGACTAGAATTAAGGCCTCCTTGCAGGCACTTGGCCTGGAGCTATACACTGGTGATTCTGACAATGAGTTGGGAGTCACCCAACATGGTATCATCCCTGCTGTTTGAATTTGTCACTGTTAGAACTTAGCCCTAAAAGATAAAATGTGATTCTGTCAAATACAAATATCACAGTTGCTAATCCTGTGAATGAGAAATTAAATGAGGTAAGAATGATTCTATCTGCAGAACAGCAACTCTAGGTGTGATCATTTGCCAAGGAAACAGATTTCACATTTATTCTTAGCAATGGGGTAATTATTAGGCACTGCCTAGACTAATGAAAATGCAAGCAGTGATGTGACTGCAACAGAACACAAAGTGTTCTTCTATTAAACTAAAAATGGTCATTAAAATTACTCAATTTTATTTAAAATAAATGAAACTATTTTACTAAAAGTATTCTTACCAGTGAACGATTTTGTTTCAGCTGAAAACTTGCTGGTAAATCTTCCCAAAGGTCTAATTTTATATCCAGAGGGATGAAATTACAGTTCATCGGTTTTCTGTCCTGATTATAGATTAGGAAAATCAGTTTGTCTGTTGTAACTATTTTAAAAGGAAATAATTATATTATGGCATACTATGCCCAGTTTCTTAAAAGATAAACCATGGTGGCACATTCTAGACAAGAGCCCACCCAACATGGCTCCCTGGAGGTACTGGGAGCTGAGCAGAGGAAGCATGCTTTCCGTCGTTCTCTGTGTTCTTCCAGTGCCCACATCAAGGCCAAGCCTCTGCCTGTAGCCTGGGATGCCCTGTCATACTCTTCTCTATTGCCTAGTCTTGGAAATAAACATCAAACCAATGCAATTTGTACATTGCAAATCAATACCAAAGAAGACTAGATTCTCAAAATTAACAGCAGCAGAACTACTCCCACATTCATAGATAAACTTCTTTATAATCCTTGAAAATACATCTTATATCAATCTAGGTCATCATGAAATAGTCTGAATTGCTCTCCCCAAACTAGCTGAGATTCCTTTTCTTTGTTACAGGAACAAAAAAAGTAAGGAGACGGAAGACAAATTTGCTACCCCAACACAATGCGGCAATGTTGGTCCCACAGGACTAATGCCAACAGCACCACCTGGAGAGGAAGCAGAACCGCATTCAGCTCCCAACAATCAACATGACATCCTGAAATCTAGGAGTAAAAAGTAACCCTGTACAAGGGTGTAGAAAATTAAACAGGAGTAGAGGCTATTTCTTTAATAAAGGGGAAAAAGAATATGAAATCTATTACATCAACAATAGTTGGATCACATTCTAATGCTCTTAGCAAAAAAAAAAAAAAAAAACTTGATATTTTTCATAACCACTTTGGAAAAAAACCACACAAAAAGTTGCTATACATTGATTAAAAGTTGGCCGGCGCCGCGGCTCACTAGGCTAATCCTCCGCCTAGCGGCGCCGGCACACAGAGTTCTAGTCCCGGTTGGGGCGCCGGATTCTGTCCCGGTTGCCCCTCTTCCAGGCCAGCTCTCTGCTGTGGCCAGGGAGTGCAGTGGAGGATGGCCCAGGTGCTTGGGCCCTGCACCCCATGGGAGACCAGGAAAAGCACCTGGCTCCTGGCTCCTGCCATCGGATCAGCACGGTGCGCCAGCCACGGCGGCCATTGGAGGGTGAACCAACGGCAAAGGAAGACCTTTCTCTCTCTCTCTCTCACTGTCCACTCTGCCTGTCAAAAAAAAAAAAAAAAAGTATATATATGTGGTTGTAATATATACTTCTAAATTGTGATTTAGACTTGGGATCTTGGCTAAATGAAGAGTTTTAATATTATACAGAATGCTAAATGTCTATTACTGCTCTTCTTTTTAGGGGGTATTCCTTTAGGCAGTAAATTCTATCCAAGTTTCTATTTCTAGACTTTACTTCAGCTCTATTAGGGTGAAAGGGAAAGCTTTCATTTCAACTCTGCTCCAGCTGTGGAAAGACATGCCAACATTTCATCTGCTCAGGCTCTCATGTTTAGAACATGACAGTCACAGAATGATAACACCGTATGTAAAGGGATATAGTTATAAAAGAATAGCCATAAAACGCATTTTAGAATATTACAGAGATGCCAAGCAGGTGAAGTGGCCCATGCCACATAGGCTGGGAGGCAGAGTCAGAATATAGGCCAGTGAGTCTGCTGCAGTGAGTCTTGGCAATAAGCACATGTATGCTCCCACCGGAAGGCTGCAGGTTTTCTCTCTGTGTTCCCCCCAAGGGGAAAAACACTGATCAGATTAACCAGGAGGCAGAGCTTTCACTGCCCAGAGCGAACAGTCGAAAGAGTTTAAGACCTTCTAAATTCCTGCAGTGCTCTTCTAGTATCTTCCTCTTGGCTCCTCCACATTTAAGCTCCTTTTCTGGTCCTGTGATGGCCTGAGAAGCAGAGACTGCAGCTCTTGCTTATGAGGTGAGGTAGCTCAGGCCTGGAGATGCACAGGCGTCCTTGGTGTTCCCCCAGTCTGGCTCACCACATCTCCAGGCTCCATAAGACAACCTGGGGTCCATGCAGGTCTAGAGGATGAGCACTCATTACCAGCTGGCTTGATTGTTTCTGTCTTACACTGTGATCCCATACTGGAAGCTGCTTGAGGATTTTGGTTGTCATCCTAGCCATCTCCTCTTATTATTATGATTATTATTATTTTAAAGATTTATTTATTTATTTGAAAGCAAGAGTTACAGACAGAGAGAAGGAGAGGCAGGCAGAGAGAGAGAGAGAGAGAGAGAGAGAGAGAGAGGGGAAGAAACATTATCCAGGGGCCGGCACTGTGGCACAGCAGGTTAAAGCCCTGGCCTGAAGCGCTGGCATCCTATATGGGCGCCGGTTCTAGTCCCAGCTGCTCCTCTTCCTATCCAGTTCTCTGCTATGGCCTGGGAAAGCAGTAGAAGAAGGCCCAAATCCTTGGGCCACTGCACCCACGTGGGAGACCCGGGGGAAGCTCCTGGCTCCTGGCTTTGGATCGGCACAACTCCATCCGTTGCGGCCATCTGGGGAGTGAACCAGAGGATGGAAGACCTCTCTCTTTGACTCTATCTCTCTCTGTAACTCTTTCAAATAAAATAAATCTTAAAAAAAAAAAAAAAAAAAAAAAAAAGAAAAGAAACATTACCCATCCACTGGTTCTCTCCTCAAATGGCTGCAATGGCCAGGGCTGAGCCAGGCTGAAGCCAGGAGCCAGGAGCAGTTCCATCAAGGTTTCTCACATGGATGCAGGGTCCCAAGTACTTGAGACATTTTCCACTGCTTTCCCAGGACCATTAGCACGGAGCTGATCAGAAGTGGAGCAGCAGAGACTCTAAACAATGCCCATATGAGATGCTGGCACTGCAGACAGCGCCTTTATTGTTATGCTGCAACACTGGCCCCCTAGCCATCTCCTCTTAACTGAAGATCATTACATGGTATACTACTTATCTATATCTGTATATGGTTTAGTAACTGAAAGTTTGTCAGCACTAACTTATCTTTTAAAAGGCATTCTTCCAATAGAATGGACCATAACTTTAAAAAGTGACAAATATTATTTTACTTAATCTCTGTACTTTTTTCCTTATATACATTAGTTTACCGAGGCCAAGGATTGTCATATGGTCCCTGAGATCCTTTTGGGGTGGGGGGTGGGGGTTCACAAAGGCAGAAATATTTTGGTAACAAAAGTAAGACATTATTTGCATTTTTTTTAGCAGCTACATGACATGATTATCACAACAAACTGAATGCAGAGGAAAGTATGTTTTCCATTAGGACTTTAGAGAAAACTGCTAAAAAATGCAACATACCACCATTCTCATTAAATTGTTTTTGTTTTATAAAATATTATTTTCATAAAAGCATGTTTATATAAATATACAATGGTTTGTTATTGTAACTCTTTTTTTTTGACAGGCAGAGTTAGACAGTGAGAGAGAGAGACAGAGAGAAAGGTCTTCCTTCTGTTGGTTCACCCCCCAAGTGGCCACTACAGCCGGCGCTGTGCTGATCCAAAACCAGGAGCCAGGTGCTTCTCCTGGTCTCCCATGGGGTGCAGGGCCCAAGCACTTGGGCCATCCTCCACTGCCTTCCCGGGCCACAGCAGAGAGCTGGACTGGAAGAGGAACAACCGGGACAGAATCCGGCGCCCCAACTGGGACTAGAACCTGGGGTGCCGGCGCCACAGGCGGAGGATTAGCCTAGTGAGCCGTGGTGCCGGCCTGTTATTGTAACTTTTACATGGATTAACAAATGATTCTTAAGGAAGATCTCTCTATATAACTCTTCCTTTCAAATAAATAAATAAATCTTTCAAAAAAAACCTAAAAAACAAAAAACAAAAAGTTAAAAAAACTAAGAAAGATCAGAAAGAAATAAGAAAAAAATAGGGGTCAGTGTTGTGGTGTAGCAGGTAAAGCCTGCCTGCAATGCCAGCATCTGATATAGGCATGGAATGTGCCTGGGAAAAGCAGTGGAGAATGGCCCGAGTGCATGGACCCCTGCAGTAATGTGGGAGAAGCTCCTGGCTTTGGTTTGGCCAACCCCTGGATATTGCAGTTGTTTGGGAAGTGAATCAGCAGATGGAAGATTCAAAAAAAGAAATTTTTTTTGAGTTAAAAGATACATTTATTTTAAAATATATGAGATATATTTCACATATAATATATAATTCATATAAACATAGAAAATTCATTATATATGATTCATATATATGAAACAAAGATAAGAGGTCTTTAGGAAGCTCATATAAATGTATATTATGAAAAAACTATGTATAGATTTCAAAAATTTTTTTTCACTGAAGCTTATCTTTTAATTAAACTTTTCTGTATATTTTTTCAAGTCCCTTTGTATTACAAAAACTTCCTAGAGTTTATTCAACAAGAGGATAGGTGGGTTTAGGCTCCTGTAAAGGTTTAGGCTACAAATGATCAAGGCAGGAGCTAATGTCGATTGTGAGTCATTATGGCCAGGCGCAGTGCTCAGTGCTCTATACAAGTCAGCTCATTTCATCCAGGCAACAAATCCTCCCCACATTTTACAACTGAAGAAACTGAAGCCCAGAGCATTTAACTAATGTGTCTAGGATTACACAGCCAGTAACAGATTTGAATTGGTGCAGCCTGGTTCTGAAGTCTATGCTCTCAGTGACCGTCCTGTTTTGCCTTTATTTATCCTTAGACTTAATATAGGAATTTGAGAATTTGCTCTATAGAGGTGAAGAACTAGATGCCCATCTAATTGTAAAGGAAATTAAATCTCTATTAAAAATAAAAAAGGATTTTTTTCCCTAATGTTTCAAGACACAAAATCAGCATGATGCTTACCTTAGTGTAGAGGTGGATCCGGTCAGTATTCCTACTTGCACAAAACATTAAGGTATCATATACTGGCAATGTGTCTGTGTTCTTCAATTGCTCTAATAAAGAAGACAAAGGAAAATGTGAATGCTTATCTACCCTCTATCTAAAACAGCTTATTTTCAGCTTTTACAGGTTAGAATGGTGAAATAGCTTTCAAAAATATCAATATATTTGACAAAGAGTTTGTATCTGGACTTGAAATAAAAGTAGCACGGTAGGCTGTCTAACAATATATTGACTTATTTGGTAACCAGTTGCTTGACTTTTTTGCTAATGACCAAAGAAGAAACCAACAGATTCACGATTAGCTGGAAGGACATCAGTTAGGCACAAGGGGCAATTTCTGACTATCAAGAATATTTATCATTCTTGAAGTTTAGAACCTATCCCTTTTGCTAAAGTGGATTTAAGTGAGACTGAATGGGCACCATTTTGATTATTGGCAACAATAAAACTGTGCTGAGGGCGAGTTAACTGCCTGATTCCCTGTGGCCTGGAGCCTCACATTCACAACAGGAGATGAGCAGACAATTTCTTTTTTGAAACTCTCTTTCTGTTTAGGCCTTATGCAGTCCATCGTCCAATATATTCTGCAAGAGAGGTTTATCAAAGCAGGTCTAAGTAACAATTATAGTAAACATTTACTGAGGGCATACAATGTGCTAGGTACAATTCTAAGCCAATATATTAACACCTTTCAGAAATAATGTATTTCACACAGAAGGAAATTGGGGCACATTAGCTTTCCAAGGTCACACTGATAATAAAAGGATTTAAATCCAGTATTATGGCTCTGGAGCCTGTTCTCTTAACCTCTGCCATAGCTCCTCAGTGACTTAAAATATATGGTCAGATCTGAAAGTTTGTCATTTTACTTGGAATGTCAACAAGGTATTTTTTCTAATCAAGGCATTGGCTACTTTACAAACTTAGTCTGTGGATGACTTCCATATCTCATGAATTAAAAGATGTATTTCCTCTACACTTTAACACCTCTAAAACTGGCATGTCTTATGGTCAATAATAACAATGGCAATTTAGTCATTGCTGGCCAAGTGGTGACTGCGGAAGTTTCTATCGTTGCCTGAGCACACTCAAGTTTAGGCACAGCTACCATACTGTTATGAGTATGACACTACCAGGAGGTGCATGCAGTGTTGTTACTATCCGTATTGACCTGAATTACCTTTAAAATGTCTTCAAATTGCTTTACTCTGATTTATTTGGTATTAAAATGAAAAGTAATCATGTATGACAAAATACTTGGATACAGAGCAGGAGAACACAATATGATAATAAAGACACAAATATGTATCACTAGAGGAATAATGAAAATTTCTTGTCTTCTGGCAGAAGAATCACTGAATGCTTCATGGGACCTAAGAAAAGGAGATCCCTGCAAGTAGAGGAGGCTGTCTTATATTTGGTAACTGAGATGTGCAAAAGGGTTGCCTATTACAGGCCGTGCAATGCTACTCAAGCCCAAAGAAAGTGTCAAATCCTTCAGAACTGGAGAAAGAAGTGTCAAAGCCACACAGAGTGGTATGGCCTGGGCCGTGTTTAGGTATTGAATTGTGGTTTAATTAGCAGAGGTTATTTTTCTTCCTTTTTAAATTGTACCTCAAGTAAGTACAGCTATTGTCAATGTGTCTTCAGATTTGAAAAACTAGGGATTAATGCTTAAAGATCAGAAGTTATTCTCAGATAAAAAGAATTATAACAGCAAGTCCAAATCAGTCAATAATCATTGCAGGTAGCTAACAGCTACATTGGGGAACATATCTCTCTTTTCAGTGCTTCCATGAAGTAGAAGTTAATGGTTCAAAACTATAAATGGTGCAAATTTTGATGATACAAGCATCTTTCCAGACTCCTAGAATTCTACTTAGAACAAAACTACAATTCCCTCTGGTTCTAAAAGAGCTAATGTAGACAGAATAACCATTTAACATCGAGCACCTCCTTTGTTTTCTTTCTGCTTGTTTTTCATGGAAATCCTCATTAGCGGGAAGATGGGAAGCATTATCTCACGTGGAGTTCTCAGCTCAATGAGCTGAAAAGTTTAAAAAAAAATGGAAGCAGGAATAGGTATGAGGGAAATGTTGCCATTGTCTGGAATCAATTAGGCCGATGCAAAATTACCAGCACAACAGAATTTCTAAAAGCTCAATGATTTTTAAAAAGTATTTGTAAATACAAGCTAATATCTTACATAGGTCTTTACCAAATGACAACAGCTAATATTTCCTTGTCATAGATGAAGATCTCATAGTCCAGTGGATAGCAGTAGCCAGCTGTTGATTCCCAGTCTGATGTTGAATTCACTGTGCCTATAACTGTGTCCTATAACCAGAGCTTCATCAGCTCTTAAAGGTATTTTCACAGCTGGAACAAGAAAACTGGAGTCACAAAGACTCCATGGGAGTCTATACTATCTACGTAAAGGCTATGAAAATTAACAGACCTGAACTGGGCCCACTCCAAGGTATTCTTTAGGTAGACCTTGAGGAATCAGAGGGAAAGAAGGCTAAGAGAAGATGCAAGAAGGATGCCTGGGGCTTGAAATCCCCAAGTGAACATCTGATTTTAAAGTTGCTTGATGCCAAATTGTATCACTGTTTAATAATAACTAATTCAGAAGAAAAATTTCAAGAGTCTCATCCCAACAGTTTTGGGTTTGTTTTTATTACTTTCTGTTTGGTGAATTCTTTATTTAGTAGAGCCTTTGACTATAATGCAAATTAAAAATGTTATCTCAAAACAAATAAATAAGATGTTAAGCTAAGAAAAAAAAAAGACTATCAAGCTATAGGTAACTATGGGCACTAATGAATAACAAGGACAATGACCAGAAACTATTCATAGTCTTGCAGGCTGGCCCATGAAAGACAGTGATGTACGACACACAGGCTGGTACTTGCTAACCACCACAGTTATAAATAATGAGTGGAATCAACCAAAAAGTAAATAAATCTGAAACACTACATGGTTGGCTCCAAATACAGTCATGATTCATGTCTTGAAATTATGTTCCTTAAAAACTTTTTCTCAAGAATTAAAAAAAGTGCCAATTAAGTATAGCCATTTAAAAAAATAAAAACTGTGTAAAAGAGTAATGATTTGTTACATGACTACTAATAATTTGTCAATCTTGACTATTTTGTCTAAAAGCACCTCCCAAATATCAAAACAACAGCCTTGCTGTGTGAATGGGTGAGGCTTGGTTGAGGCTGGGCAAAAGGCCTGGTGGCAGCACATGCAGCTATTTATCAGTTCTGCTCTGTGTATTACATCTCAATGCCAGCAACACACTCAGCCCTCCCAGCCATCTGCTGTCTAAGTATGCAGTTACAAACGGTAGGTATTTTTAATACACATGGGAATAAAAAGGGCCCCAAACAAGGCAGAGGTTGCAATTCTAATAACAGTATTATGTTCAAAAATACATGGTCATTAAGAGGGGATTTCAAAATGTCTGCAGAAAATGGCATCAAAAGATGAGTTTGGGTGCAAAAATTTTTTGAATTCATGCATTTTTTAACTACAATATGCATTTTCCAGGAGCTTTCTGATGATTCCTTGTATGCCTGGATTTCAAAATTCTTTTGCACCAAAATAAATTTATCTTTTAATTCCACTTTCCATGAGCTTTTTGAAATACCTTCTTATTTGGTTGCCGAAAATGGAAACAGGCCTTCCTGTTACCTGGCTGGAGTGCGAGTCCTTCTGGTCCCTCAAGGTTGGAAGTTTTCTCCTTACTCTCGGTCAACCACTCTTGGTTTGGCTGAGCACAGACTTGGTTTCCACAGTCAGAGCTAGCACGAACTTCTTCAGGTGGGTCTTTCTGACAATCAACTTTCTCATTTTTCTTTTCATCCTGGATATGGTTGAGGTTACCTAGTTGTAGAATTATTAAAATCAAATGAATAATTTACACTTAAAGCAAATTTTAAAAAAGTTACAGCTAGGTCTTATAAAAAGAAAAATGTTAATAACATTTGTTCACTTAATCAAAGCATTTATTGAGAACCTACTATCTACCTAATACACTCCAGGTGCAAGAGAGACAGCAAGGAGCAGGACAGGTCAGGCCCTGTTTGCTGGAGATTCCATTCTAAATGGCAGAAGTTGACAATCAAGTATGTAAATAAACAAATAGAACCGTTTCTTTTTGTAAGAAAAGTGGGGTGCTGAGAAGGCATTAATAAGCGCAAGTTGCTGAGGCCAAGCTCTCAAAGGCGTCTCATTGAAGCTAAGAGCTCTTCATGAATCGAGGACGTTTGACCCAGGGGTCTATACATTTTTTTTAAGATTTATTTATTTATTTATTTGAAAGGCAGAGTTACAGAGAAAGAGAGAGGCAGAAGCAGAGAAGTCTTCCATCCTCTGGTTTACTCCCCAGAAGGCCGCAGCTGGGCCGATCCGAAACCAGAAGCCAGTAGCTACTTCTGGGTCTCCCATGTGGGTGCAGGGGCCCAACTACTTAGAGCATCTTCTACTGCTTTCCTAGGTCATAGCAGAGAGCTGGATCAGAAGTGGAGCAGCCAGGACTCGAACCAGCAACCATACGGGATGCTGGCACCGCAGGCGGCAGCTTTACCTGCTATACCACAGTACCAGCTCTGACATAAATCTTTGGAAAGAAAAAAATAAATGAAATATTGGTACATATGACATATAGCCTCTCTTTGTCACTGTGCCTTTCAAGTAAACAAATAATAGATCTTAAAAAAATTCATAGAATACCAATTGGTTCATCTGTAAATATGGTAATCTTGGTTCTAAAGGGATATCTGGTGAATATTGATCAAGCCCAAACTGGTACATGTTGCTATAAAAATCAATAAAACTCTAACTATCCACCACTTTGATGGATGTATTGGAATAGGAAAAAAGGTATGTGGAGCATGGTGTGGAAAGAGCTAACATTTTATCTTCCATATTGAGAAGCCAATTGATGACAGCTAAAATTATAGAGCAAGCTGGTTCAGAAGTGGAGCAGTCAGATCTTGTACCGGCGCCCATATGGGATGCCAGCATTGCAGGCAGCAGCCTTACCCGCAAAGCCACAACGCTGGCCCTGGGGTCTATATTCTTGAGTTAGGTTCTAAATGAAATGGAAGACATTAGAGAGCTTTAGTCAAAGGAATAATAATGATCTAAAGGACCAGCCTGCCTACAGTGCAGAGCGATCACAACAAGGGAGACTATCTGGAGGGTCCAGGGGTCCGTCTGAAAGATGAGGGAGGCTTCTCAGCAGGACGGGAGCCATCAAGTAAAAACAGTTGGAAACAAGATTTATTCTGTAAGTTGTTAGATGGATCTAGTGTGGGAGGTGAGGAAATCAAGGATACTGCTGAGGTTTTTAGCATGATATAGGGAAGACTGGAAGGGAGAAGATTGGGTGTTAGATATGGTGGTGGTGATGAATCAAGAATTCTATTTTGGAAATGTTAAGCTGGAAGTTCCCACCAGACATCCACGGAGAGATGTTACGCAGGCCATGGGATACATCTGCAATTCAACTGAGAAAGATTAAGCTGAACAATATGAGTTATTAGACATTTAGGATAAACTGTAGATATTAAGAACAAAGCACAATGTTACATATTGACAAATACTAGCATTCAACACACTATATAAAATTTTCTCTAATAGTCTAGAGATTACATTTGCAACCTTTATAGACTGTTAACATTCTAATGCTGTTCCTTGAATTTTTCAGATTCTACCTTTTTCTCAAAGTGCTAGATGAGAAGCATTATTTAAAAATTTAGATGAATTAAAATTAATTCTGATTTTCAGTACTTTTGGGGTATACCCATATTAAGGTTAGAATCATTAAACCAAAATGTAGTAAAAAAATCTAATAATTATGATTTTTAAATACAATAATGTTGCTGCTACTTAGGATATTTCTCTCACATCAGATGGTTTTATATTCACAAAAGGTTGTTGTTTTTTAAGTTTCTTGACAGGTTGCTTATTAAATAATCATGGACTCAGGAACTATCATTGTTGCTCTTGGTAATTCAAATGAAAAATCAGAAATATGAAACCCATATCAAACTATAATTTTTGTTGCTAAATCACTTGATATGTTTAATAGGAACTCACATTTTATAGTTATATCTTATTTTTTCTGTAGTAGTGGGGAATTGCATGAGATCATGCTAATTGTGACAGAGATGTTATATGGAATAAGCTTGTGGTTATAATCTAGTTCATAGAAAACAGGTGCACACATTACAAATAAAACCATCCAGATGGCGAACCTGTCAATTTTCGTAGCAGCACTCAGAAGTGGAAGAGGAAAGCCTTAGTCCTGATTACATTTTCCTTCAGATCAAAACTAAGAGAAAAAGCAAGGCTGGTGGGCAGGAATTGCAATATTATGATTTATACCTTAGTTGAATTTCGGTCAAAATCAATATTCTCACAAATTAATGTATGATGCAAAATTTGATTTGAAGAATTAGTACCATTGATAAAAAGAGAGGAGTACTTCTAGTTTTCCAAACTGCTAACTTGGCATCTTCTATTACCATAAAAATGCTTTCTAAAATTGGGAAAAAAACACTAATGCTCTTTTTCTTATGACAACCAGGGGTATTAAAAATCATTTGAGAATCTAAAGAGCAGAAAATGGTATGTCAAACTATAAAAACATAATTGAGATATGTTTATGATTTTGATCCTCAAAACAATATTTTAGAAAAGAATAAACTTACAAAACAGACATCAAATTGGTTCTTAAAAGATCTATAGAGGAATTTTTATGATTTTCCAAGTGAAAAGGAAAATAGGGCACAATTCTACTGACTGGGTAAAGAAGCCACAATGAATTATTTTGCTATTTAAACATAAAAATAATCCATAATTTCCTTAAAAACAAGTATTATCTACAGAGCAAGGAAAACAGCAGGTCTCTGACTATAAGGCATATTTGCTGCCATAGCAACAGAGCTTCTATTCCTGCCCACTGAATTCACATCCTGCTGACATTAATCAGAAATGTCCATTTGTGCCAAATTAATGTCATATCACACACACTTGTGGATATACATTCTTTACAGAACTGGGAGTTTTTCACATTCCACAAAGGATAAATTCACAGTCTTGACTATGTGAAGTTCCTACTCCTGTTTTAAAAGCTAAAGCCAGTGCTGAGTCACACTAACCTTTGGCAACAGTAGGTAACAGATTATCTGACCAACTTCCATGGACACCTTCCCAGGACTCACCAGCTCTGCCTTTGGGGTTCTCGCACATTTCACAATAAGGTAGCACTGCATTATTGATATAGGTGCAGAAACCACACTGCCAGTCTTTTCCAGGAAGGGATGTCTCGGTTGACTGGAACTTGGCCTTGTGGACACCTTCCATGAGTGGAGCTCTGGTTTGTCTGGACCCTGTTGGCTTCTCCTCCGGGGGACTGCCACAGTCATTGGTGGTGACCAATTTCAATTTTTTAGCTTCAGGTTCAAAATGACTTTCACAATCAGAGATATCTCTTGCAGCTCTTTCTCTGGGGTCCGACGCTGCTACCGTATTTTTCTCCTGGAGTATCCCTGATTCATCACTGGAGGACACCAGCTGTCCTTCTTTACGTTTCGGTAAAAAGAATGATCGAATATCATGCTGTTTTTCTTTTTCAAACTAGGGAAAACAGAGTTAGCAAAATCAGAAGCACTCTAATATGTTCCTTTTTTTTTTTAAAAAAAAGATTTATTTATTTGAGAGTAACAGTTAGAGATAGAGAGAGGGAAAAACAGGAAGAGAAGTCTTCTATCTGGTTCACTTCCCATATGGCTGCAATGGCTGATCTGAAGCCAGGAGTCAGGAATTTTCTCCCAGTCTTCCACGCTGGGCCATCTTCTACTACTTTCCCAGACCATAGCAGAGAGCTGGATTGGTTCTTAAAAGATCTATAGAGGAGCAGCCGGGACTCGAACCAGTGCCCAAATGGGATGCCAGCACTGCAGGCGCTGATCCCACACTCTAATATGGTCTTCCCAAATCAAAGAGCTTAACAAAATATTTTCAGTAACCATGTTGTCTTGTTCTTATATCGTTTTGGAAATGAATTCAATTAATTTGTGACTCTTCATAGACATATACATGCAGAATATCATTAACACATCCATGTACTTTGTAACATTCATGTAACTTTTTTCTTAGCACAATCTACGTAAATCAACTTATTTAATCTTCATGTCAGCTCTTTCAAGTAGGTACTAACATTCTCTCCATGTTTCAGATGAAGAAATGGAAGCTTTACAGAGGTTAGGTAACTTGGCTAGAGATGTTACGTAATCAAAATATACTTCATAAGCTATCCGTCCTAGATGTATCTTAGGGAAAGGAGGAAACTGTATTTAAATATGTCAAGTCAATTAAGAACTCAGGGAGCAGGCATTTGGCCTAGCAGCTATACCACCTGTTCCACCTTGGAGTATCTGGGTTTGATTCCAGCTCTGACTCCTGACTCCAGCTTCCTACTAATGAAGACCCTGGGAGGAGGGGCAGTGACTCAAGTAACTGGGTTCCTGCCATCTATGTGAGGAAACCAGGATTAAGCTCCTTGCTCCTGGATGCAGTTACGGCCCAGCCCTAGCTGATGCACGTATTTTGCTGTGTGTGTGGTGGTGGTGGTGGGGGTAAGCCAGCAGATGGGAGCTCTGTCTCTGTCTCTTTCCCTCTGCCTCTCAAATAAATACATTAAAATTTTTAAAAAGCCAGAAAAATGCTTTCACGTCCAAACTGTAAACACAGTGTTCATAAACAATGTTACTCACATTAAAACGCTTTCTGGACCAGGAATCTGTTCAAATACCATTGAAGATATTAATTAGGACAGTTCCTTTAACAGACACTTTTTTTTCTTTTTTTTTTTGACAGGCAGAGTGGACAGTGAGAGAGAGAGACAGAGAGAAAGGTCTTCCTTTGACGTTGGTTCACCCTCCAATGGCCGCCGCAGTGCACTGTGGCTGGCGCACCGCGCTGATCCGATGGCAGGAGCCAGGTTCTTATCCTGGTCTCCCATGGGGTGCAGGGCCCAAGCACTTGGGCCATCCTCCACTGCACTCCCTGGCCACAGCAGAGAGCTGGCCTGGAAGAGGGGCAACCGGGACAGAATCCGGCGCCCCGACCGGGACTAGAACCCGGTGTGCCGGCGCCGCAAGGTGGAGGATTAGCCTAGTGAGCTGCGGCGCCGGCCTATTAACAGACACATTTTAACAATTACCTTGTTTTCAAAAAATATTTTTTGTTTAGAACAGTTACATCATTATCTCATGTTTTTTCATCTTTTTCCCAATGTGTAAATCTCAATTCCCTAATTAGAGGAAGTAGGATACCTATGTCTGGTGTTGATCAACTACCAGTTAAGGCAAATGAAAACTTAATTTTAGATCTGTCCTCCTAGGGGCTGAATTGGGACCTATGTTGGATACACACTGTGGTATTTTCAAAGATAGTCACATCAGTTCTAAACCCATCTCTCATGCTCTTCTCATAAGGGGACACTGACATACCTCCACTGAGGGAGGTGGGAGTCCATGCTCTTCTTCCATAAACCTGGGTGGATCTTTTTAACTGTCCACCCAACAGAATGAAGTTGAAGTGATAAAGATGATTTCTCAGACCAGGCTGTTGAAGGTAATATGGCTTCCACTTAGCTGAAACTCTGTTTCTCTCTCTCTCTCTCTCTCTCTCTCTCTCTCTCCTCCCTCCCATCCCCTCCCTCCCTCCCTACGTCACTCTCTTGGAATGATTGCCTTTGGAATCTAGCCACCATACTGTGCGGAAGCCCAGGTCCCATGGGTATTCTAGTTGCCAGCCACAGTAAGACCTAGGTGACAGCCAGCATCGTGAGAGTGAACAAGCCTTTAGATATTTCTGGACCAGAGCCTGGGAGTCTTCCAGGAAAGGCTCTACTTATCTTGGAGCAGACATACCATCCTTGCTGTCCCCTGATTGAATCCTGCACCCACAGAAGCCAAAATAAATAATATATGGCTATTTTTTTTTTTTTTTTACAGGCAGAGTTAGAGAGAGAGAGAGACAGAGAAAAAGGTCTTCCTTTACCGTTGGTTCACCCCTCAAATGGCTGCTACAGCCAGCGCACTGCGCCGATCCGAAGCAGAGAGCCAGGTGCTTCCTCCTGGTCTCCCATGCGGGTGCAGGGCCCAAGCACTTGGGCCATCCTCCACTGCCTTCCCGGGCCACAGCAGAGAGCTGACCTGGAAGAGGGGCAACCAGGACAGAATCCGGCGCCCCGACCGGGACTAGAACCCGGTGTGCCGGCGCCGCAGGCGGAGGATTTGTCTAGCAAGCCATGGCACCGGCCCTACTATTGTTGTTTTAAGACACTAAATTTTGGAGCAATTTGTTATGGAGCAATAGTTAACTAATACAGATATTGTAGATAATGATAGAAAAATACCATCTACCATAAAGAGATATTTTGCCTAATGAATCTTATCTGTACTTCTTAGTAGTACAACATAAGAAAGATACAGCAGATTCATAGAGACAGAAAAATCAGAGGTCACCAAGGGCTGGGGGAAATGGAAAATGGGGACTTGGTACCAAATGATAATGCAGCCTTTGGGGTAATGATTCGGAAATAGCGGTGATGGTGGCATAATATTGTGAACCACTGAATTATATACCTAACATGGTAAATTTTATGTCACCACACAAATAATTTCCAAAAAATGAAAGAGAGTAAGAAAGGAAAAAGAAAGGAGGAAGGAATGAAGGAAGGAGGGAAGGGAAAATTAGGCACGCGCGCATGTGTGTGTGCGTGTGTGTGCGTGCGTATGTGTGTGTGTGTTATGTATAATCACAGGGAACAAGCTGTCCCCCACTCCTCCACCCTAATAACATAAAACTCTTGTTCTGAATGGCTGTTATTTATACATTCTTGTATACCATGAAAGTTACCTAAATAGTTGTGGAAGTTCCAGAATTTAGATAAAAATATAAAGAATGAAATCATTACCCACAAGGCAAAGATTTTAAAATAGTGCATGAGGGAAAGTCTAAAAGGGCAGAGGAAAGCACAGGGAAAACAGAGAGTGTAGCAGACTGGTGGAGCTTATTTTTTCTTTCTTTTGTTTTAAAAGGTAGCAAAGACAGTCAAACACTTAAAGTAAATGTTCTATTCCATACAATAAAAGTGCAAAGAGAGCTAGAAGGACTTTGAAAATATGAGCAAATAATTGGCAACATAAACAAATTCCATCTGGTATTTCTAGTTAAACTGCTGATTTTAAAAGGGAGGTAAACTTCCTGAGGCCTTCCTGTCTGGAAATGAGTTGTTTTTGCCTTGATTCTCCTCAAATCTTTATTAAAAAAAAAAAAAAAAAAAAATGAGGCCGGCGCCGCGGCTCACTAGGCTAATCCTCCACCTTGCGGCCTGGCACACCGGGTTCTAGTCCTGGTCGGGGCGCCGAATTCTGTCCCGGTTGCCCCCCTTCCAGGCCAGCACTCTGCTGGGGCCAGGGAGTGCAGTGGAGGATGGCCCAAGTGCTTGGGCCCTGAACCCCATGGGAGACCAGGAGAAACACCTGGCTCCTGCCATCGGATCAGTGCGCCAGCCACAGTGCACTGCGGCAGCCATTGGAGGGTGAACCAATGGCAAAGGAAGACCTTTCTCTCTGTGTCTCTCTCTCACTGTCCACTCTGCCTGTCAAAAAAAAAAAAAAAAAAAGAGCCTGGCAATGTGGTCCAGAGGGTTGGGCTGTTCCATGCAATGTCAGCTTCCCATATCCGAGGGCTGCTTCGAGTTCCAGCTATTCTGCTTCCAAATCAGCTCCCTGCTGATGTTCCTGGGAAGGCAGCGAAAAAATTTCCCAAGTGCTTAGGCCCCTGGCACCCATGTGGGAGACCTGGATGGTGCTCCTGTTTCTTGGCTTCACCCTGGCTCAGCCCTGGCTGTTGTGGCCATTTGGGGAGTAAACCAGTAGATGGAGGACCTCTCTCTCTCTCTCTTTCTCTCTCTTTCTCTCTCTCTTCTGACCCATCACTCTACCTTTCAAATAAATCCATTTAAAAAAATTTTAAAAACTTATTTATTTAAAAGGCAGAGCATCAGATAGAGGAGGTGGAGAGAGGGAGAGGGAGAGAGGGAGAGAGGGAGAGAGAGAGAGAGAGAGAGAGCGAGCGATCCTCTATCCTTCAGTTCGTGCCTTGTGCCATTTCCGCTGCCTTTTCAGGCACATTTAGCTGGAAGCTGCAGAGGAAGTGGGGCAGCGAGGACCTCAATCAACACTCCAAAGTAGGATGCTTGTGTTGCCAGTGGTGGCTTAACACACTCCGCTACAACATTAGTCTCTCCTCAAATCTTTGAAGACGTTGCTGTTTGTTCAAACATCTGATGTTGCTGACCATGTTCCTTTGTAGGTTGAAACTTTTAGTTTCAGAGGCTTTTAGCAACTTCTCTGTTGTTCTAAAATTTCATAATGACCTATATCTATGTATCTACATTTATTTGCCTTAAAAATCCTGCTCAGCATCCAGAATATCTTATTAATTTTGAATAATACTAATTATCTTTCACTCTTGGGGATTTATTATTCTTTGATAGTTTTTTCCTCTTCATTTTATCTTCTCTTTTTCTGGAATTCTTGTCAGCAGAACGCTAGACCTAG